ATAGCCATTCATGGGTTGTCCACCTTCGAGTCAGTAGTCGCAGCAGCAGAACGCGTCGACGCAGTACGAAGCCGACGGGTCATGACGATCGCGATAGGGGATACAACAGACCGATCAACGACGCTCGATCGAGGGACGGACCATCGCCCATGGAGATTGGTGCAGTTAACAGTGACGGCTCACATCGCACTGGATTTAGGGGGAACTGTCACTACTGCAAAAAGTCGCGTCACATGAAGCGGGACTGCCTACAGTTCAAGGAGCGGCAGCAGGGAAACGGAAACCGCCAGTAGTTAGCGGGTCGCTAGCTGGTATGGAGGTTCCCGTACCCGCCACGTCTACCAACGTAGAGGAGACGGCCTCGCAGCAGTCATCTACGGAGAACGAGGTAGACACTGTTGACCGACCAGTCGTGCTTCTAGGGAAGCTTCGCGGAGTTCCAGTCAAGATTCTCGTCGATAGCGGAGCTAGCCACTCGTTCGTTTCATCTTCGCTAGTTAGTCGTCTCCATCTCGAAGCAGATTCCGCAGTCAACTTCAAGGATGCTCGCATGGTAGATGGGACGCCCCTTCACATAGGACCAGTCATTCGCAAGTTGCGCGTAGTGCTAGGACCGATCACGGTTAGACGCGATTTTGACTCTGCGACACTGGAAGGCTACAACTTCATTTTCGGTAGAGATTGGTTGCGGACGGTTTCGACTCAGTTCGATTGGGCTCAGGGAAGCTGTAGCGTCAAGGTAGACGGGGAGTTCCGGGAGCTGCCACAGTGGAGCGATGGGGCCACATCATCCACAGCTATCATTAATGCTGTTCGTGTGCGACAGTTAGTGAAGCGTGCGGCACGGATCTTCGCGGTTTTCCTTGAGGAGGTGGAAGCTGAGGAGGGGAAAGGAGGGAGTGCAGCAGTTAGTGAGAAGGCGACTCTTCCTGCTGAGGTGAGTGCACTGTTAGCAGAGTTCGCAGACGTCTTCCCCGACGAGTTGCCCCCAGGGTTACCTCCCAGCCGAGCAGTAGACCATCGAATAGAGTTGGAGCCGGGGAGCAGGCCAGTAGCGAAGCCGCAGTGGAGGTTGAGTCCAGCAGAGACAGAGGAGATGACGCAGCAGGTTAGGCACTTTCTCGCACAGGGGTTCATACAGCCATCTAGATCGCCTTGGGCAGCACCGATCCTTTTCGCGCCTAAGAAAGACGGAGGGGTGCGGATGTGCATAGATTACCGCGCACTGAACGCCGCCACCGTCAAGAACAGATTCCCGGTGCCGAGAGTAGAGGATCTTCTAGATGCAGTGCAGGGCGCTAGAGTCTTTTCTAAGATCGACCTTCGTTCGGGTTACCACCAGATTCGTGTAGTTCCAGAGGACCAGCACAAGACGGCGTTTCGTACGAAGCAGGGGTTGTACGAGTTTAGGGTTCTACCGTTCGGTTTGACCAACGCCCCAGCGACGTTTCAGACGCTCATGAACACAGTTCTCTCCGACTTCCTAGGTTCATTCATTGTCGTTTACCTAGACGACATCTTGATATTTTCTAAGTCGAAAGAGGAGCACATGCAGCACTTGCAGAGGGTCTTTGAGGTCTTGCGGAGGGAGAAGCTGTACGCGAAGCAGTCGAAGTGCGAGTTCTTCCTCCCCGAGGTCGAGTTTCTAGGTCACGTCGTATCCGCTAGTGGCGTTAGGACCGACCCGAAGAAGATCGCAGCAGTACAGGATTGGGTAGCACCGACCTCAGTCAAGGAGTTGCAGAGCTTCCTCGGATTCGCAAATTACTACCGTCGTTTCGTTCAGGGTTACGCTTCCATCGCTAGTCTGCTCACCGACCTACTTTGGAAAGGCTTAGAGTACGTTTGGGGTCCAGCACAGCAGCAGGCGTTCGAGTAGATGAAGCAGTCGCTCACGTCTTCACCGACACTGTCGTACCCTGATCCCACTCGCCCGTACGTTGTAGTGACCGACGCTTCAGATCAGGCCATAGGTGCAGTGCTTCTTCAGGACCAGGGCCGCGGGTTGCAGCCGATCACGTACGAGTCGCATAAGCTGAGGGGAGCGTAGTTGAATTATCCCATACACGACAAGGAGGTGCTCGCGATCATCCATGCGTAAAGTTATGGAGGTGCTATCTAGAGGAGGCTGATAGTGTTATACGCACGGACCACTGCTCGCTTCGTTTCCTCAAGTCGCAGCCGCAGCTGAGTCGTCGCCAGGCTAGATGGATGGAGTTCATGGAGGGGAGTTTCCACTACAGGATAGAGTACAAGCCAGGCGTTCGCAACCCAGCAGATCCGCTCACTCGCCCTAGTTGTCAGCTCGCTAGTCTCACAGTCACTGCCGGCCATCCACTTCTCACAGCACTCTTCGAGCACGGTTACACAGTAGATCCCGACTTCACACCGCAGCCGCCCGCAGGAGCAGAGGTGCAGGGTAGTGTCTACATACGGAAGGGAACAACACGGATTTGGGTTCCAGCCTACCGCCCTCTTCGACAGCTCCTTCTCTCAGAGGCGCACGACGTAGTTAGTGCAGGTCACTTTGGAGCAGACAAGACAGCTAAGACGCTTAGTCGCACGTACTACTGGCCAGGGCTTGCAGCAGACGTAGAGGATTACATTCGCTCGTGCGACACGTGTCAGCGTACGAAGTCCTCTCGCCAGCGCAAAGCAGGACTTTTGCAGCCGATTCCACCGCCCGACCGCCCTTGGCAAGTAGTTACGATGGATTTCATCATGGCATACCACACACAGTTAGGGGTCACGATGCCATCTTTGTGGTGGTGGATAAGTTTTCTCGAGCAGCGCACTTCATCCCCACGCACGGCCAGGTCACAGCAGAGGAAGCCGCGACGCTGTTCGTAGATAACGTAGTCCGACTGCACGGGGTTCCAGATTCCATCATCTCAGACCGCGACCCTCGATTCACCTCCAAGTTCTGGAAGCAGCTTTTCGTACTGTTTGGGACTCGCGTAGCCATGTCGTCTGCGTACCACCCAGAGACAGACGGACAGACTGAGCGTGTGAACCAGACCTTGGAGCAGATCCTTCGCAGCATCACGATGCACGACGCAGCAGCATGGGACAAGAAGCTGAGCATGGCAGAGTTCGCCTACAACAACACCCACCACTCCGCCACAGGCATGTCACCGTTCTTCGCACTGTACGGTCAGCACCCCAATGTCCCCACTCGTGTCGATCTCACACCCACTGTCCCACATGCTGATAACTTCCACCAGCACCTCACCTTCATTCACGACCACGTGAGGAAGCACCTTGAGCTTGCAAATGCACACATGACACGTACCACCAATCGCAGTCGTCGTGAGGTGTCGTTCGCAGTCGGCTGGCGATCGTGTTCTCTTGGATAGCCGCAACCTCCGACTGCCACAGGACGGCAAGCTTCGCCCACGCTTCATTGGTCCATTTGTCATTGAGCGCGCACTTGGTCCAGTCGCATACCGCCTTCGCCTTCCCGCTCATTTCCGCATGCACCCATCATTCCACGTGTCTCTCCTTCGGCCTTACACCGATCCCAACGCCACCTTCTCGGGCCGTGATCGCACTCCACTGCCGGTAGCTGTTGACACCGACGAGCCCGACTACCAGATCCAGCGCATCCTCAGGCACCGTCGCCGTCTCCAGGGGGGTGTCTCTTTCATCGACTTCTTGGTTCGTTGGCGTGGTTACGATGCAGCCGACGACAGCTGGGTTCCTTCGACCTTGCTGTCTCCCGACAATGCTTGCCTCCAAGCGTACCTTCAGTCTGCAGGCGCCGCGGACGTCGCCTCCTTGGGAGGGGGGTAGTGTTAAGGGGGGATTTACTGTTCACTTTGAACAGTACTTTCCAGCTCACCCTTATCCTTATCTTCCGAGATTTCCTAGTGCCACATGGCACTCTACTTTCTTTGCTTTCCAATTCCTAGTCCCACATTCTACTTTCCAACCTTCCTTCTTGCATGCTATATAAACCTTGCTTGTATTCCCTCATATCAACCAATTCTCATTCAACTCTTTTTCATTACTCAGTAACTTCTTCGCCTATTTCGCCAATAGTCTTTTCGCCAAAGTCTTCCGCCACGTTTTATCCTCGACTTAGTCGACCCAGCTAATCTTTAGCGGACTTAGGCCGTCGGGCCTAACAAAGCGGACAAGAACACTGTTTTCCTCACGATTCGTCGAAATTGGAAAGATGCGACCTGTGTGACGCAATGGTTCCGCACTGCTGACGTCGAGCAGGCTGCATCTGATTGATGGTCTGTCAATAATCAGGGCGTGGTCTTAATCGGGTTTGTTCGCCTCGATCAGCCACAATCATTAATTTCCAGGAAGCCTGGAAGCCAAATTCAGGCAATCAGGGGCAATCAGCTGATCGCGATCAGCTGATCGCCCAACCTCAATCAGACCCGATTTTAACCCCGATCAGATTCGATTTTCCTCGATCACAGGCAATCAATCAGTTACACTGTTGCATTTACAGTGAAACGAATATTTTCGCCAGGTGAAGCCTGGTCGTCAATCTCGCTAAAATGGTGACAAAAATACCACGCAAATGTATCGCGCTTGCTGAGCAGGCGCTAACAGCCTTCTCCGAAAATCATCTCTGATCGGGCGGCTCGGGCACTACGATCACAAGCAACCCGATCAGATCCAAACCGATCAGATCATTCGCGATCAAACTCGATTGGGCCCACGCCCTTAAGGCGAGGGCGGGTCTAGTGTAGTCGCGCGTCGTCATACCCTTTTGTTAGTTCCTTCTGAGTTCCTTCTGTCTTGCGTGGATAGGTTCCGTTGTCTGCTTCGTCTACCGTAAGACTAGACATGGTAACCAACGCGACCGGACCGCGCTTTTGCACAATGCTGCCGCGCGTTTCAAATCGCTTAAATGGGCAAACCATCAGCAGTAGTTACATCATCTGCTGTCAGCATATTCATCCATTTCTAGAATCGACTCTCACTCGGCAATTCACATCGCAACGTATTCTTCTCTCACGCGCTGCGCTAATCTTCGCAAAATGATGTCGCACGTACCGGAGACCATGGCGGCGTGGCAGTACTTCAAGCACGGCGGCGGGGCTGATGCTCTCTCGGTGCGTTTCACCCCCGCTCGAGTAATATCCGCGAAGGGCTGTTGTTTGTAACAGACGCACTGCAACTGCTCTATCTGCACCATGCCGCTTGCTTTCAGATGGAGAGCAAGACCGATCGTGGGATTTAAACATCCGCCGTAAGCCCTACTGCCCTTTTTCGAGAGGATCCTAACGTCACTGCGCCGCAACGCCGCCCTTTTCAGGTCGAAATGCACACGACCGAAGCGCTGGAACACCGCTGTTTGCGCGCGACTCGATTTGGAGCTGGTGGATTTCGCGTTAACGCGAATTCGCGCGGAAATTTTCACTTGAATCCAAGCTCTCTTTATTTTTTCTTGCTGTTACATTTTCCCTGCGCCCCCCTCGCTTCACGGCAGTTGAACGACAGCGTCCCCGTGCCCAAGCCATGCAAGGGCGAGGTGCTGGTTCGCGTGCGCGCGGCGAGCATCAACCCGGGCGATTGGAAACTGCAGTCGGGACTCATCCCCTTCCTGCCGCGCCGCTTCCCCGCCACCGCAGGTGAGTGCCGCAGCAGTGCAAGCGGCACGTTTAGAGCCATGATGACTCGTGCAGAAACGAACGCAGTAAGAGGCTCTTCTGAAGTTTGTACTGCCGGAAGTTCCGAAAGTCCAATCTGGCTCATGATCGCCCTGCTGAGCAGCGCACGTACCCGACTTGCACAGCACATACTTTGCTGAGACAAAGTATAAGGCAGATGTTTATGGTAATCTCGGTCGCCGCTAAGGTGCTATCCAGGCGCGCTCATCTGCTTCCTGCCGCTGTTTTTCGGTCACTTTCTCTCTGCTGACACAATCGGTCCGCCATGCCATTCGCCCATTTCGTGGCATACTGAAGTGAAGATGATATTGATGTGTAATGCTCTTCTCTTGCGCAACCATGCAGGGTTCGACCTCGCAGGCAACGTGGTGGCAGTGGGGCCTGGCGTTACCAAGTACAGCGTGGGAGAGGCTGTTTTCGGAAGGGCGCCGTTCTTTGTAAGCTTTGAATTAGAAAAAAAAATGTTTTCGTTTTTTATTTTGGGGGAGGGGGGGGGTTGTTTTCATTTCATTTCGATTATTATCCACTGGACTACTGCACCACTCTAAATCGCAGTCACATCTGGCATGCAACGGCGCAAGTCTCCCATCTGCTCGTTCCAACTCATGTGCACCTCGAAACGCCCATCACACCTCATCCCTCCCATCCACAGCTTGTGCATTCTTCCATATTTCCGGGGCCTTTCTCAGTACATGGGCACCCTGGCGCAGTATGCAGTGCTGGACGTTCAAGGCAGTGAGTGCATGCCCTCCTCCCTCACTTTCCCCACACCTCTTGTGTATTCTCATTCTTCTTTCAGAAAATGGGCGCCCTGGCGCAGTACGCAGTGCTGGACCTGCAAGGCAGCGCACGCAAGCCCTCCTCCCTTACCTTCGAGACTGCTGCTGCTCTCCCCATCGCCGGACTCACTGCTCTGCAAGCCGTGAGGGACTATGCTGGCCTGCCTCTCCCTGCATCCAAACCGAGTGGGGAAGGGAGTGGTGACTGCAGCAGTGGTAAGGCTGAGCGCAGCAGCAACAGCACTGGCAGCAATGGGTGCAGCAGCGGGAGCAGGGCGCGGGTGCTGGTGGCGAATGCGTCGGGGGGAGTGGGGCATCTGGCAGTGCAGCTGGCCAAGGCAGCAGGGGCACACGTGACTGCCACTGTAGGCGCTCGCAACCTCGCCTTGGCACGGAACGTGTTGGGAGCAGACGAGGTGTTTGACTACAACTCAGCTGCAGGGAAACAGCTCTTTCCTTCCCAACCCTCATCCCCTTCGCCTGCTCTCAGCCTCTCTGCTCCTGCTGCTGCACAGGTTGCCCCATCCGCGGACCCCCCTGGCAGTGGGCTGTATGATGTGGTGATTGATTGCTCTCCCACCAGCCTAGCTGTTTCTGCTGTGGACAGGGTTCTGCGTCCTGAAGGGAAGTGGGTGCATGTGATCCCCCCATTCTCAGTGTTCGCTTTGGGACTCTGGCGTCGGTTTGCAGGTCGCCCAAAGAAGATTTATAATGTTATGATGGAGAATAGGGGATCTGACTTGGAGGTGGTGGGGAGGATGGTAGAGGAGGGGAATGTGAAGGTGGTGATAGAGGGTAGTGTGCCGTTTGGAGAGGCGAGAGAGGCTTGGAGGAAGAGCATGGAAGGGCATGTGACAGGCAAGCTGGTGGTTAGGATGGAGTGAGAAGGGCCACAACAATATATATTGGTTGCATAAAGGTATCCCCTTGTATGGTTACATATTTTTTTTCTCCTCAGATGTGCCCTTGTTTTTCATTTGCATAGCTCTCTTTCTGTCAAGAACAAATGGATGCATTGATAGTGTTGGTTGGGCTGAGAAAAGCCCTTAGGATCTTTTACAGGACTGAACTTTAGGTAGGACTTGTTGTAGTAGCAGAAGCCTTTAATGAGACAATTGAACCACCTTGCACTAGTGTGTGAGAGCAAAGTAGATTGATTAAAGCAAAGAGATACAAGGTTTTTATAAGAGTAGAAGGGATACGAAGGGATTTTAACCGATAACTGTTTTACTGTTGCTGTTGCGGTTCGATACAGTGACGACTCGGGCAACCGCTCAATAACGAGTCGGTTGTGTGTCCTTGCTGTCGTACTGTACGTCGTCGAGTCAAAGGTCGCGTGACCTTTGACCTTCGCGTAACCTCCAGCGGTTACCACTTCTGGTCAACCTCCGATGGTTGACTCGCTGTTGCTTGCTCCGTTTGCGTTTATTGTTTCGACACGACAGAGGCGCTTAAGTCATTGTTTCCAACACTCCCCTTCGCTTCTGGAGTGTCGTTGTTGATGACGTGGCTCTGTCCAGTCAGCAGCATGCAGTACTCAAACTTCTGCTTTCCGAGCTTCTTGGTCAGTAATCGGCTGCCATCTCGGACGTGGGGCAGTATGACAGCTCGAGTCTCCCCTTCTCGATCTCGTCCTTCACGAAGAAATATCGCAAGGCGATGTGTTTCGTTCGGTTCGCGAATCCGCTCTTGTTTGCTATGCGGATCGCCGACTGGTTGTCGCAGAACAGGGAGAAGTTGGGTAACTGAGCCAACTTCGCTTCTTCCAGTAATTCGCGAAGGTACAATCCTTCTTTGGTGGCTGAGCAGAGTGCGATATATTCTGCTTCAGCTGAGGAGAGGGCGATTAGTTCCTGCTTACTCGACTGCCAGGAGATAGGTCCGATAGGCTCGAGGCGGTAGATGTAGCCGGTGCGCGAGCGCCTGTTGTCAGAATCTCCGGCGTGGTCGGCGTCGACGTAGCCGATTAACTTAGGCGTTGTAGTTCCGTTCTTGTAATAAGTTAGGCCGATCGTCGGGGTGCTGACGAGGTAGTGAAGAGCGCGGTCGAGCTCTGCCATGTGTTCTGCTTCGAGTTTCTTGAGGTAGGTGGCGAGCTGCTTTGCGGAGCAGGATAGATCCGGAGGGCAGGTGACAGCTGCGAAGAGGAGGCAGCCCAGCTTTCTCTGGTAGTCGCGTATGCCGGCGGGCTTTAGCGGAGCAGATCCTTCCTTGTGGTTTCCTGCCGTGTAACGGTATGGTGTGGAGATGGTAGTCGGTGTGAGCGCGAAGCGTTTGGCGATGGTGTCGGCATATTTCGCGGCGCTGAGATGGATCGTGTTTTCCACTTCTTCGATGTTGAGGCCGAGATATTGCGTGACGGTAGATGAGACTGTGAGAGTGAGATCCTTCTGTAGCTCCCCTTCGAACCAGGTAGTGATACCGTCGGTCGAGCCGATGTAGAGAAGATCGTCAAAGTAGACGATGAGTAGAATGTAGTCGGTTCCCTTTGTGAGCCGGTACATGCCCTGATCGTGCGGTAGCTGCTTGATTGAATCCGATGCGAATGAGTCGGGCGTGAAGGTACTGCTGCCACAGTCTTGGAGCTTGTTTGATCCCATACAGGGACTTCAATAGCTGACAGTCGTGGTTGGAGTCCGTGCTAGAGCCATGTGGTAACTCGACAAAAAGCTCTGCGTCGACGGGTGCGTAAAGAAAGGCGTTGGAGGCGTCGATTTGCCGTAGCTTCTTCTTCTTCATGGCGGCGATCGCGAGAAGAATCCGTAGTGAAATATGTCGGCTGACCGGGGCGAATGTCTCGGTGAAGTCCCGTCCGTGTTCCTAGTCGAAGCCGCGTACGACCCAGCGTGCTTTGAACTTGTCGATGGTGCCGTCTGCTTTTGTTTTCACACGAAAGACCCACTTCCCGGTGAGTATGGTCTTGTTTCGCGCCACTCCGATGGGAACAACTTTCCAGGTGTTGCGTTCCTCCAATGCTTTCAGCTCCCTGTCCATGGCTTCGCGCCATTTTTCTTTATGCTCCCCCCCCAGAGCCTGCTGAACCGTTGCAGGCTCCTTAGGAGGCGCCGTGCCATGGACTGCAGTGACGAGGCCGAGGATCTGGAGGCCACTCTGTGTGTAGCGGGGGAGATTTCTGTCCTTGGGATAAGCTGCTTCATCACCGTCTTCTGGATCAGGTACGAAGTTGGGTCCTATGCGTTCGGCTTCGTTGGTGTTGACTTGGGCAGGTGTAACAAAATCAGTGTCGACAAGGTCGTAATAGACTTCGGCGTTGATACTTTCGCGAGGATTTTCGTCGTCCATTGGGATATCAACCGAACAGTAAGGCAGGGGGTCGGCTTCTTCCGAGGCTCCATCTACGTTTTGCTCGGTCAGGTCAGCTTCGTCCGCTGCTGAGGCGAAGGCTCAGTCACCACGAAAACCACCTGTGGGGTCCCGTTGTTCTTCCAGGTTGGCAAGGTACGTCGGGAGTGTGAGCCGCTCGTAGAAGATGACATCACGTGCTGCTACTGTTTCTTTTGAGTGGACGTCGAAAATTTTCCACGCGTTGTAGTTCTTTTCGATGCCCAGGTGTAGTCCCCACTGTGCACGTTGGGAGAATCGGCCGGCTCTTGCAGCTGGGGGTCGGTACTGTACCATGCAGCCGAAAACCCGTAACATTTTTGTGCTGCCCAGTTTTCCTGTCCACAGCAGATGCGGTGATGCGTTGTTCGGGAGTGACGACGAAGAGAGCAAGTTGTGCAGCATGACGGCGTGGTCCATCGCTTCGGGCCACTGGTGGTTGGGCAGGTAGCCGCTGTCAAACATTATATGTTTATATGATTGTAGGCTGTAGTGGGTTACACCTTAGGGGGTACACTAGATTAGGGTTTACTACTTGTATCCAACTTTGTGCTAGTACAGTCATTCCTGTCCGTTCATTCTGACATGGTTTCAGAGCAGGTCCTTCGCTAGGACCGTTTTTTTTTAAGGGCCCACCGTTACCTACCTACCTAGGGCGCCTCGAACTTTTTTTACGGCCCCTACCTCCCGCGACCCGCGACCCGCCCCTTAAGGCCCCGTCGCGCCGCCCCTTAGCCGCTCGCGCGCGGCCTTTTTTTTTTTTTTTTTCCCGCGCGCGCCTTATTTCCCTCGCGCGCGGCCCGTCGCCTGCTCGCGCGCGCCCCGCAGCCGCCCGTCGCCTGCTCGCGCGCGCCCCGCAGCCGCCCGTCGCCTGCTCGCGCACGCCCCGCAGCCGCCCGTCGCCTGCTCGCGCACGCCCCGCAGCCGCCCGTCGCCTGCTAGCGCACGCCCCGCTGCCCGCAGCCGCTCGTACGCCGCTGCTTCCGCTGCTGCTTGCGCACTGCTGCCTCCCGAGCGCCGCCGCTGCCTGTGCGCCGCCGCTGCCCGTGCGCCGTCGCTGCTCCTACGCTGCCGCTGCCCGTGCGCTCCCGCTGCCCGTGCACCGCCGTTCCCAGTGCGCCGCTGCCGCCTGTGCGCTTCTGCAGCCGCCGCCCGCGAGGCACTCGCTCTCACTGTTGTTTACCTTCTACCTACCGCGCGCACTGCTGCCACTGCAGCTGCCACCAGTGCACCGTTGCAGCTCCTGCTGCCACGCTACCTACTACTGCCGCTCGTGTGCCACTACGGACAGTCGACCCCGCCCGCGCCTTGCCTAGCGGCCCCGCCGGCCCCGTTGACCCTCCGCACACCTTTCCAGCGGCCTGATTCCTACTACTACTGTTACTACTGCTACTGTCACTATGGCTAGTCCGCCAGTTCTAGCTTTCGATGCCGAGGGCCGTCCAGTGAAGTTCGAAACCTGGCTAGATGACCTGCACCTGTTCCTACAGCTCACTGCCAAGGAAGATATCTCACTGTACGACCACGCCCTAGGCCATGCCACTGCCCCTGACTCGACTGCTGACAGCACTCTGCGTTCCCAGTGGCAGACCCGTGATGCGCACGCTCGCTTTGCTATTCGCAACTCCCTGCCGCTAGACGAGCGCGAGCACTTCGGCCAGTGCAAGACTGCTAAGGACCTCTACACCGCTGTAGTTGCCCGCTACTCCTCGCCAGCTTCTGCCACGCTAGGCCGCCTCACTCTCCCCTACCTGTTCCCCGACCTAGCCTCCTTTCACACTGTCGCAGACCTCATCACCCACCTTAAGACTAGTGAGGCCCGCTTTCGCGCTGCTATGCCTGCCGAGTTTCTCACTAGCAACCCCCCCCCGCTCTGGATCACTCTCTACCACATCGTCACCCGCCTTCCTGACTCTCTGCGTGCAGTCAGGGACCACTTCCTCTCTCGCTCCCCCACTGAGCTCACTGTTGCCCTCCTCGAGAAGGAACTGCTTGCAGCTGAGGCGAGCATCGTCGCTGTAGGCACCTCTCGTGGCGACCCCCGCACCCCGTTCTTCGAGGGGTGTTCCCCTTCCCCCCTCCTCCCCTCTGTCGCCTCTGCTGCTGCTGTCGACCTTCTTGGTGCTGAGAAGGTCGGGACCGCGTCTGCTTCGAGTGGGCGCCGCAGGAACAAGGGGGGCAGGGGTGGGGGTGGCGGCGGAGGAGGTGGGGGTGGAGGCGGTGGGAGTGGAGGCGCGGCTGGGGAGACTAGTGGCGGCAGTGGGGGAGGAGACAGCAGCGGTGGGAGTGGTGGTGGAGGCGGCAGCGGAGGCGGAGGTGGTCGTGGCGGCGGCAGGGGTGGAGGTGGCCGGGGCGGCGGCGGTGGGGGTGGTGGTCGTGGAGGCACTGGCGGAGGGCAGAGTCAGCAGCCCGCCCCGACGCTTCAGGCCGCCCGTGAGTGGTATGCGCAGCGTAGCTTTACCTGCACGTACGTCATTCGCACAGGTGACCGCAGCGGCCAGCAGTGTGGGAGGCCGCACCCCACGCAGCGCTGCTTCGCGCG